AGGCCTGTTTAATGAGATCTTTTTTTTTCTAAATCATTCTGTTGAAGCAAGGTTGAAAAGAAATGTCAGACTTTAATTTTATTATCATTACTTTTGTCAGACTCAAGTTATTTCTGTTACCATTGAGGAATATTCTTTCATTAACCGAGGGATATATATATATATATATATATATATATATATATATATATATATATATATATATATATATTGTCGTGGGAAAAAAGTATTCGACTGTTCATCCTAGTTAAATAAACTGAGATCGATGGATTTCACTCAGTCGGCACATTTATTAAAATCTTTGCAAAGAGAGAACAGTCATCATGGCACAGCATTGTGCTCTGTTCTGATCTGGGCAGGGTTCGTTCCCCCCTAGTTACAACAATCGAAAGCAGTCAGAGTCATAACAAATTACCCACACTTTGCTTAACAGTAACATGTTATGAATAAACCTTGAGAAAGAATCTGGATTGTTATGGGAAGAAGCTATGTCTGGTCTACAAACAACATTCTGCAGGGAATGGTGTGGCCTTGAGAGAGAAACAGACTGAGTGAAAACTTTTATAGTGAGTAAATATGAATATTAATATATAAATAGAGAAAGATATAAATTTTCCCACAACAGTATATATATATATATATATATATATATATATATATATATATATATATATATATATATATATATATATATATATATATATATATATATTTTGCATGTTTTCTACTTACACAGTAGCTCACTTTCCCTCCAATACAGTATGCTCTAACTAAAGTTGCTGTTAATTGCAACTATGCTTTTACTTAATTGTGAAAATTTTTTGGTGCATGGAATATTTGCTTGTCTAATGCTCCAACCAAAATTGGTCTCCTATTATAGTAACTTTTTTTATCTTTTGCTTAAATAATGCTTTTTTGTTTAGCCTGGTGTTTACCTTGGATGCTCTCTAATAAAAAAAATTCTGCTTTCAAAAATGATCACCTAAAACAATCAAACGGGTTTCTTTTCAACACAATTTATAATTTCTTGTAATGTTAATTTCCTGTTTGTGTCCCTGTAGCGGCGAGGAAATAAAGATGGACCGAGAGAAGATCCTAAGAGCCCTACTGATGACTGAACTCTGAGATCTCTACCACTGAACCCTGTGGCCTGTAAGAAACGCTCAGAAACCCAAATGAAGCTTCACATATGTCAAACATCGGTTGGCATTTGTATATTTGCAAGATTTGAAAATATATTTGCATTACTGTAAATTGTAATATCTGCTAATCTATTTCAGAGCAATGTTTTGATTACATTTATTAAACTATAAATGGAGTTGCGTGGACACCCTAGTCATAAACTATACATCTGCTGGTGCTGCCTGCATGATACACTTGTTTTCTCTTCTCTCTATAATTATATTGTATTTTTTTTCTCTAAGGTTCATATTTATTTAACCATCACTGTGCCCCATGCTGAAGCATGAAGCAATTGTCAAAGCGCTGATCCCCTCATAATATTACTGTTAGTGAGGCCATTTTCAAATCATTTTAGCTCCAGTGTGAGATACGCATTGTAATGATTGTGTTGATGACAAAAGGAAGCCCTGTAAATGCTTACTTCTGTATTGTATTTATTATGTAATATATCCATTTTTACATGCCAAAACATTTGCAGTATTTGTGGTTTGAAAAATACTGAACAGAATGTGTTTGAAGAGACTCGGATGTGGAAAACTCTCTATGTAGAAATGTAATGCAAAAGACTGTGGAAGTGACCCAGTCTGCCCACTAGAAGGAGACAAATCAAAGGTGTTGCTGTGAGGCGCTCCTGTTTTTCAGGTTATCACAAGGAAGAGGAAACCCTGCTATTTTTTTATATGCAATTTTCATCGCAGCTCAACTGCAAATGTGATCTAAGAGAGCATGTTCTTGGAAATAAAGATGACCTTCTTGCTCCACTAATGTATTTCTGTTTAAATTTGTGAAAGCAATCCTGTGGGTTTTTAATAGCATGGGGCTTTGGTGAACCTTTCTCCAGAGATTGGCTGGTCGTTTGAAAACTTTTGGTTCAACATCTGTGGCCTCAGCCCTGACATGGGAATTCAGGTCAGCCTCACCCTTTGTGCCTGGGCCTTAGCTTTTGTGTTGCTCTCACCCTCCCAGTGAGGGAATGTTGTGTTAAAGGAGAAAACCGATTCATCTGCCGCTATGCGGATGACTCATCATGTTAACTGTACCTGTGTTTCATAAAGTGAAATACTAACAGCGCTGTAAAAACACCTTTTCACTCTCATAGGTTTTGTTTTCTTTCACTCCTCAATGCTTTCAATAATCAAACAAGTTTAATTAGGTAAAGCCATCTTAGCCCTCTGTGAAAATAGCATAACCTACCCGTACATCATGAATTATGGGGTCAGTTTCACCATATACATCATGTCTTATCCTAAACAATAAAAAATATAATCTTAAAAAGAAGCTGCCTGATGACATGAAGTATGTTAAAAAATTTTTTTAAGGGAAACATTTTTCTGATGTTTAAAAGCAGAGAAGACACATCATTATCTGTTAAACTGGAAAGAGTTACATTGTGTGTTATTTAGAAAATACAGGGCATTGGAAAAAGTTCCCAGGGTATAGTTGATCTAATGATATAATTAAAAAATGTGTCACTACATTTCAGAAAAAGGACAACCCTTCCTCGTTTGCCTCTGACCACTAACCTGTACAGCTGCCGCTGTTTTAATCACCATATGTGTTGGAGGGTCATTCTATAGGTGCATTATTGTAATTTGTTGCAGACAGGATTTCTCTTCCCTTAGTAATAATCTGTGACCTTCATGGATTCAAATTAAGTAACCCACTTCTAGTCCTCTGCAACAGCTATCCTTCAGTTTCTAGATGCTCCCTTCCCTAAATACACCTAAATAAGAATAGGGGTTTATCTACCATACTTCTGCACAGAGAAAGACTGAATGCTAATGAAAGGATTTGGTTCTGTTGGAGGAGGTATGCACTCAAAAGTTGCTGGATAGTAGCTCTCTCTCGCAGGACTTGGGCACCCAAAGCTTAAACCAAAGCACAGCATAATAATGAACTGGGCACCACCAGCCAGGTCCTTTACATGTAAAAAAACAAAAAACGATCACCTTAGGTGTGGTCCTCTGAAGCTCCTACAAAGTTAGCCAAACATCCTGACAGCTGGTTACATGGATGGCCTCTTAGCTGCTTATGTCATACTCTCGTTGCCTAGCCAGTAAGTTAAGGCTTATCTTGATAAATATGAAGTTATAAATTCTTGAATTATCAAATGATGGATTCAACACTTTGTTATTAAAACATGTGAACATTACAACATGTCCCATGTATTTACCCCAACCCATTAGGGAGTAAAGGGTTTCTGTTGTGCAGAGGTCACTCTTTTGGGGTTAGGGGTTATAATGAAAAACAAAAACAGCCACAGGGAAAGACATTTGTCCAAATGAGTGGTTTGTGTCTGCAGAGATGGCACTTGTTCATAGTTCACAATTCTTGATTGATTTTGGATCTATCTGAGAAACAAAAGGAATAACTCAGAACTGACCATTAGCTGTTGTAGTCATGAGGAAGGACCTCTGCTGTACAAGGCAAAGCAAACGCCTTTTTCAGGTCCCATTGAGTCACAAACTGGGCTAAGTGAAATAGTTTTTAAACAGATCCCATTTAATGCTCACACATAAAAAGACATAATCCAAATATCTAAGGTATAGGATTATAGAGAGCACAGTTCAGCTAGTCATGAGACTGAAGCAAAGCAGAGCAATGAAAACACACCACATGTGCACATGGAACCCAAGTGGCCGTCTGTGGGATTCCGATCGACTCCTTTTGATCTTTACAATCTACAATCTCTTTTATAACCTAGCTCCGCTTTAAACCTCTCAACAGCTTTTGTCCTGATCCATCTGTGTTCCTCTGTCTTCATGATGCTGTTTGTTCTCTGATGTTCTCCAAAACCTCTAAGGTCATAACTACAAGTATTGACTCACATGCAGTTACATTAAGGTGGAGTCCAATTCTGAAGGCATCTAATTGATTTACAAATTAAATTAGATAAATACATACACATGCAAGACATAACCCTGTGAAATATAATCCAAATAAAATCCATTGAATTTTGTGGCTTTTTAGGAAGCAAAATCAGCAAACATTTAAAGGGTCGGAATATTTTGGAAGACCCTGCACATCCTAATGCAGGATAAAGTTAAAGGTGATTATACGAGCAACATAACATATCAAAATCATAGTTAACGTGATATGATAGCCAAGATAGCGCATGTATTCAAGAGACACTAGAAAGACTAAAACACACATGAACTATTAATACTTTCTGGGGAAACTTGTACTTTGTTTAAAACACTATAATTGTCCAAACAGGGATTTAGTTCTGTGAAAACATAACTTAACTCTGCTCAACATCTTGCAGTTAGTTTCTCAGTCAATCTGTTGATTCATATTTATGTAAGTTGGTATTATTTGGTTCAAAGTATTTTTGCAGAGATAATGAGGGGGAGGAAGTTTTGACATCGTGCTTTACTTTGAGTGGCAGAATGAGTGAGGTTGGTTTTTTAAAGGGATTGGGCAGGGTGGGGCAACCAGAATTAAGTTACACAATACCAGATCCGCCCTGAGGGGGTCTGAGATCTTTCCCCCACCCCTCTACCTTTCCACTTCCCGATCTCCACATTCTCCAACTTTCCACCCAGAAGAAGAAAGAATATCCTCTAAATACAATGTGTTCAGTGTGTCTAAGTGACAATGGCTTTTTTTTTTTTTTTTTGGCTGCAACACATATGTGTATGTAGGGAAACACAAGAGATAATAACTGAGGACAGCGTGAGGGAGTTTCTACACTTCAGCCTGGAGTCACTTTCTGTCACCAAACAACTCCACCTAGGTGATTGTTCTCCTCCACTTTAAATCGCTCCTGAAGCAGAAATAGGGCAATAAGCACAGAAGAAAAAGCTGAAATCACGAAGGTGTGTTTATTGTCATTTTATTCAGCATGTCTGTGGCAGGACTTCCACACTGCAAAAACAATTGCAATCTAAATAAGTAATCTGTTGTTAAAATAAGTCATATTTTTCTTGAATTGAGGAGGTAAGTGAGACACTTTGCCAATGGAACAAGACAATTTACATTCAAAATAAGACAAAAGAATAGCATTGTCTTATCTCAAGTGCATATTAACTAATTATCTTATTTTAAGAGTAAAAATACTAATTATTCTTATTTACCTACTCAAATTAAGGGTAAATACACTTAATTTAAGAAATGTTTACTTATTTCTAGATTGCTTTTGGAGTGGGCACATGTACAGAAACAGAAGCACTTTCCATGGCACAAATGACAACATTTGTAAGACACATATCAAACATGTCCTTCAGTTAGCAGTGTTTTAAAAAATACATATACAAATGACCAGCTTAAAGAAGACAATGGTGAACAGATTTCTGCTCTTTGTTCAATCATATTCCAGTGTCACAGTAGATGGTGGAAATAAGAAAAGATCTATAAGAATATATTAATGAGAACAAAGTGTAATGAAATCAGACAAGGACCTGCTTGAATCATTCTTTTGAGTCAATTGTCTGGAGGAATGCAAACGTTGGGGTTAAGGTACAAAAAATATGTTGAAAGAGTTAAAAAAAAAAGAACAAGAACATGAACAGCACTGGCATTAATAAAAATAAAATGATGGCATGTGTAGCATTGGAGGAGAGATGACACATTTCTGTTGATGATGAAAGTCTGATGCTGGATTCAGACCCAGCCATAACATTGTTGGTTCTGATGCCTCAAAAAGGACAGATACAGCGGGAAAAAAAACAAAACAGTACTGAGGAGGTAACTATGGCGATTCTAATAAACTCAGTGGTGCTTGGTTTTTAAAACTTATTTCTGCCTAAACTAAAGATTCAATGACTATCAGGCATTGATAAGGATATACAAACCTTAGTGTAGAAGCAAGATTGAATGCGTTATCCACAAGTTTTAGACACAGTAAAAGCACAACACAGGTGCATCCCATTAAAACAGAACACCATAAATAATCTGTATCAGTAATTTTAGTCTAATCGGAAAACTTGTATACATAAGTGACATATTTTAGACATATTTAAAAAAAAATTTTGATGATAATGGCTTAATGAAAACCCAAAATCCAGTGTTATTTTGTATATTGATGCTTTCTGGTAGACTGCTGGAGATAGGCACCAGCACCCCTCGCGACCCCAATTGGGACAAGCGTGTAAGATAATGGATGGATGGATGGATGCTTTCTGGTACTTTTGAAATGGCCAAGATGGACTAGTGTGAGTGAGCTGTTTGTCATTGTTGTTGTCGAGTCAAGCTTATATGCATTTTTAACGAAAGTTAATGCATAGTTTTATCTGTAGGATAAATGCATCTGGCAATGATATTATCTTGTCACTTACTGACACCACGCTTAACGCCATCCGATACTAGTCTAAGCTGGTATTCTTGTCTCCTTAAATGTCCTATCTTATTGATAACTGTAGTTGTATTGTACTTTATACATGTATTGTTTTATTTTTATCTATCTATCTATCTATCTATCTATCTATCTATCTATCTATCTATCTATCTATCTATCTATCTATCTATCTATCTATCTATCTATCTATCTATCTATCTATCTATCTATCTATCTATTCATAGGGTCATTTTTGGATCTCAGTTTCCTCAAGGCTTTACTTTTCGTTTCAGCTTTTTTTCTAACAGTTTTTTTTCCAGTAAGTTTTCCTTTGATATTCTAAAATGCATACCGTAGTACAATAAACAGCCAGCTTCTGAGAAGTTAGTTTGAATCGCCTGTAAAACAGTTAAGTCAATTTTGTATTTATTCCAGAACAGATGTTTTTGATGAATCAGGCCGAAAAGTGTCCCGGCACAACAGATGAGTCAGTTGTAGCCCGTGTCCAGAGAGCATATGTGTGTGGTTTATCTTAAAGCATTGAAAACAACCACAGTTCTTTCGTGGTAACCTCCAGCCCTATAAAAAAACTTTTTAAATTGGCTTTGTTTTACAATGAATTCAAGACGTTAGTTCCTATCACACTTTTTCCTTCCACTGAATTTGAAATTAAGATGCACTGATTTGATCAGCCACCTTGTTCAGCAATAATGTTTTTTGGGAATTCTGAATTATTGTTGGGAATTTAAGAAGTCTAAGCCAGAACTTAACATTTCTGTTTTGTTTTTTTGTTTTTTATTGGTCGCTGGTAAAATTCAAGATTTCTAAACAAGAGATTGAGGGATTTCTTACCACCATTATCATTAAAATAAACAAAAATTGATGTATATCACTGTGAGTAAATTATCTATAGAATATTGATGTCTTTTTCTTTTTTTTTTTTTGAGCCAAACTACAGATTTTTTAAAATAATATTCTAATTTATTGAGATGTACCTGCACATGTCTTGCATTTATTGAAGAGAATACAATGATATGGTTTCACAAGTTTCACTTCAATCATATGAAAATTCCACCAATGTCATCTGTTAATCTTGTGCCTTTGTTATTTTCTAGATCAGAACCAGCTGTGACAAACATTGCCATCAGAACATACTGCTTTTTTATTTCTCTTTACATTTTCACTCCTTAGCAGTGCATTGGTATTTAGCATCATGTAAACATCTTAAGTTTTACTACAGAATTTCTTCATGCACTACAGCTTCCAGTACAATCACTGCGTACTTGTCTCAATAGGCATATAAACATTTGCAATAACCATGCATTATATTCACATTCACATCTCTTTCACACAGTTCCTTTCACTCTTCACAGAAAAAAAAAAAAAACTTGAAGAAAAGTCTGAGCTCAGTTGCTACTAGATTATACTTTTCTAGTTTGGCTGGCAAGTATGATGATTACAGTAACTTAACAGGTTAAAAAATCTCTATAAAGCTTTTTAACATACAGATAATGTGCAATATAAAAAAAAAATCTATTTTTTTCGCTAAGACAGCAGTAAATTTGGTATAAAATACATTAATTTTTGAAACTAACAATATAAATAAGATTTCTAAAAGACAATTTATAAAAGAAACACAAACTAACGAGTATTTGTCACATACGCATTACTTGTTTTTGTGCGACGCTACTGCAGGGTCAGATCCAGGAACTGGCCTCCGGGCTTTGTGATGAGGGGAAGGGACATCAGAGAAGTTTCTCCTGCGCTGGTCTGACCCATGAGACTGTTGGTTAGCAGAGAAACAGACTCCATGGGACCCTGGAAGAAGAGGAGAAAACAGGAGAGAGAAATACGGGTTAGAGAAAACGTAGTATGGTACAAAAAGAGCCCTTCCACCAGTGCCAATGTTACCCACCACCTCCCTGAGGAGAACCCCACCTGTCGTAACCCAGCCATCAGACAAGTATTCTACGACACCATCAACTGACTGTTCATTAAACCCTTTCCCTCATAATTAATATGAAAACTTTACACTGCAGTAGATTTTGCTAACCTTAACAATTCAGATGATTTTAAGGAACCAAACTTAACTGCTGCTCTGAAACTTAAAATAAAAAAAATAAATGTGTTTAAATTTAATTATTTAAAGTAACACATGTTGAGTATAAATGGCAACTGAAGTCTATGGAGTTTACATGTTCTCCCTGAGCATGCGTGGGTTCTCTCCGGGTACTCCGGCTTCCTCCCACAGTCAAAAAACATGACTGTTATGTTGTTTGGCTTCTCTAAAGACATCATGAGCGGTGTATGTGAATGCTTGTTTGTCCTCTTTGCCCTGGGATTGACTGGTGACCTGTCCAGCGTGTACCCCGCCTCTGGCCTCTAGACAGCTGGAGACAAGCACCAGCACCCCTTGCAACCCCAGCAAGAATAAAGCATGAGAGAAAATGAATGGATGGTTGTTGGCTGTAATTATGGAGAGAAAAATCTGCCTGGTTTGAGGAAAGCAATTAATTTGTGCTACTTTTTCAATCATACCTGCAAATGAATCTACCTAAGTGATGATTTTCTTTGGCTGCATATAATAATAATGACTGAACTTTATGATCTCACACTGGATAAATTCACCTCTGCATTTAACCCATCCCCTTGGATAGCAGTGGGCTGCCATTGTGCACTGGGGAGCAGTGTAGGGTAAAGGGTCTTTCACAGGGAACCAGAGTGGCTGTCTGTGGGGATCAAACCGGGTACTTGTAACCTACTCAGAGCACAAGCGCACTGCTCTAACCACTAGGCCATCACCTCCCCATCATATTAACCAAACCATTAAGAATCTGCTCTTCCTTCTTTTGTTAAAAATGCTAAACAATGGTGAATAACTAACTTATTTAGGTGACTTTATTTAATTAGTGTTGGTAGGTGACTAATGTAAGGGTTAAGCCAAACATGTTCTTTGATATGATGTCTTTGTATTGTTACAAGTGAGCCTATTGAACACAGGTGGAAAAGATATATGATCCAGCTGCACTACTACATTAGAACCATGTTGTTAAGATACATATTTGCCCCCTTCAGGATGGAAGAGAGTTCCTCCCTCAAGTGGAGGAGTGAAAATATCTTGGGGCCCTGTTCATGAGTGAGGGAAGAATAGAGAGGGAGATCGATGGATGGATCGGTGCAGCAGCTGCTATATCAATCTGTCATGGTGAAGAGAGAGCTGAAGAGAAAGGCAAAGCTTTCAATTTACCAGTCGATCTACGATCATGACCATCACCTATGGTCATGACTTTCGATCATGACCTAAATAATGTGATCCCAGAAACAGGCGGCTGAAATGAGCTTTCTCTGCATGGTAGCTGGGCTCCCCCTACAGATAGGGTGAGGAGCTTGATCATTCGGTAGAAGCTCGGAGTAGAGCCACTTCTCCTCCAGACAGAAAGGAATCAGCTGAGGTGGTTGGGACATTTTTTTCAAACCACTTCACCTTTGGATGCCCCCTGGACACCTCCTTCAGGAGGTGTTTCGGGCAGTTCCCACAGGGAGGAGGCCTAAAAGACAACCCAGGACATGCTGGAGGGACTATGTCTCTCAGCTGGCCAGGGAGCACCTCAGGCTTCCTCCAGCTGAGGTGGAGGAAGTGTCCTCGGAGAGAGAAGTCTGGGAGTCTCTGCCGAGACTGCTGCCCCGGCGACCCGATCCCAGATGAAGCAGGAGACAACGAAGATGACGATATTTGTTAATATGCATGCTAAAAGCTGCAAGACAGTTCTGTTCTAAGGGTTTTAGGCCAAGCTTTTTTCAAGCTACTTATAGGACAAGGATGATATAACATTCAACTATATGAAATATGGTTACCAAAAAGAAAAGGTTAAATACTTAAATAATATAGTTGGAAAGTTATTATGGGCTATTCAAATGCAATTTAATCAATATAACAGAAACTTGAACAACTCAGTTGTTTTTCTAACATTGACAAATATAGACCGGATTTCATCAGTAGATGGGGTTTACATGTGTTTTAATCTTATCATGTTTGCTAATTGCTTTTTTTTCTTTTGCAGATATTGGTTAATTTCTTTTGTGTGGGAATCACCAGAATTCATAATGAGAAAGTGGACATATTTCTTGAATAAAAAAACAAATAAGGGAAATTGTAAACCTTCTTGGTTCACTTAAAGTTAAAGAGCCAATCTAAGGCAATATTTTGCTAAAAAGCTCAAACACTATCACAGCTCTATATCTTGTTGAAGCTCAGAAGTAGGTTCTTTTCTGTTGCAAGTCAAAGGCATGAGTCACTTCAGTACAAGAATGGCCTAGCCATTATGGAAGCTCAGTGCGCCATTATTTGCCACTGAGAGATGAGGTTTTGATTTGCAGACGTTCAATGAGTTTTTAATTGGGCTATAGGCTCAACAATCCACACCATGGTGATTCAGAACATATTGATAGAGAAATATTTGTTTGCACTCCTCTGTGAGAAGTGTTGCAGAATGAAGTGAGATAATGACAAGGTTTTGTCAAAGCATCGCTTCATACTTCGATGGATTTTTTTTTTTTTTTGCTTAAAGAGAATTCAGAGCTAGATAGTCCAGTGAGGAGATGGGCTTAAAGTGAACAGTCAGTTCTCTCTTTATCCTTTTTTTCATCGCAGAAAGACCTTTTAAAAAGGACAGCAACACACCACCTAATATTTAATAAAGAAGACATGCTAACAGTTGATCAAAGAGCTAAAACATAAAGATGATTAAAGCCAATTAATGTTTTATAATCCTCAGCTGGGAAAAGGGAAACAATTCGCTGTCATACTGAGCCCCAAAGCCCATATTGACCAGTCAAGCTGTCTCTGAAAGCCGAGTCTAAAGTTATTCCCCCTAACTAATCCCTCGTCCAATCCTTACCTGCCACCTGCCCCAGACACCTTAAATACACACCCATTCTTTGGGCTGTGTAAGCAACGTCCTAGCTGGGTCGTGAGTGTGCACGGCCCCTTGAGCGTGGATGAGAGCATCCTCTGGAGCATACTGTATCATAATGAAAGGGAAGGGGAGTATAGCATAGACAAATTTAGCCACATATCTTAACCTAGGAGAGTAAGACTCTCAAAGAAACCAGGATGATGGAAAAAAAAAATCTGTATTCAATATAAGCTCTCATTTATCTCTTTTTTTTTTTTCTTTTCGGTATTGGAGATTTTGCATTTTTCTCCTGCTTTAATAACACAACTTGACTTGCTCCATTTCAAGTTGAAGCAAGCCGCCTTGCATGTATGACAGAACAGGGAGAGTAGACAGGATAGACTTGTTTGATAGCCTTTAGGCAACCGCAATGGGTGTTTAACAGTCCACACCCATAATAGCAGGAGATTTGAATAAAAAACCCAGTGCTTACAGAGAGGTGTGTGAACATTGAAGGTACAGGAGTAATGCATATGTCGAACATGAATATATGTCAGGATTTGAGAGAACTCATCCTCACCTGGTATCCTTGAACAGCACTGATGATGTCTTTAACTCCGCTGCCATTGTAGGGCAGGCCTGGCATTCGCATCAACCCTCCAGGGGAGGACATGGAAGAATGAGCCGGGAAGAAAGCAAGCGTGTTGGGTGAGCCAGGGGGACTGGGAAAATAAAAAAGAAATTTTTATTTTTATTTTTTATTTAATAACCTTTGATTTAGATCATTCATGTCAAAAACATTTACCACACAAAGGAGGCACTGGAAAGAAAAACATACAACTAGGAGGGGCCTTGGGTGTTGCCTTTAAGTGCTTTCTCAATGACTGACCAGGTAGAAACAGAGGTCACTTTATGTTTACCCAGCTCCCTGATAACACAGCCTTCAGTTATTAACAACCCTTATCCCAGACTTTCTCCTTGAAAAGACACATTTCAACCATAAACAAAACATTCCTAAGTTTTCTGCAATTAACATCTTTATTTCTAGTTACCACAACAAATCTAACTCTGTGAGCAGTCCCTCCACTCTCAACCCCTTTGCAGTCTCTGGCAGGTGTTTTTGTCCTCAATGGCCAATCTGTATTTAGCTTCATCTGTCCTTCCTTCTGAGGGTTAACATTCCCGCAGCATGACGCTTCCACTGTCCAATTTTAAACTGGTAATGGCACGTCTCATTTCTTTTTGCATAAGAAAATAGGACCCCTCCCAAAACTTGGATTTTTGTACAACACATTTTAACATAAAGTTATTTAATAACCATTTAGCAATATTAAAATGGTTTAAAAATACATACATTTCTAAAATTACAAAATTGGGAAATCGATTTCTGGTAATGTATAAACAAGTACACAAATTATCATAATTAATGCTCAGTGTGGTGATGAAGAATATTAAAATTTACTGGGCTCTTAACTCTAAAGAGACTTTCAAAACCTTCATGTAGAAGATCATGACAGTTTCTGAGTCTGGCAAGAGATATAAAGATTAAAAACTGAGCTCACCCTGAAAGGCTACAAGATGCTAAATAAACTCCCACAACGCAAAAAAAAAAAAAGGTTAACTTTCTTTGGAGACATGCACAAAAAAAAAAAAATCTTTGCTCTCTAAGAAGAACACAAGAATTCTGGGAACATAAACCACCCTGTGAAGCATGGAGATGAAGGTACCCTTGTCCCCCTGCAGCAGTGTGTATGGTGACACCATCACCCTGGGTTAGCGTTGATTACGTCACCAATGCGACAGAAATCAGGTAAGTAAACAATGGAGAGAAACATCTAAGGAAGCCAGGGCTTAATAAGTGTGCTTGATTGTTTCAGACTTTTGTCTCTCCAAATCCCTCTCACCAGTGCGGTGCCACATTTAACGAATGTAAACAGAGTTGTTTCGAGCTATTATAACAGACGTGGCTGGCACGGTGTGTTAATGTCCATAAGTTGCGTTCAATGGTGTCACATAAATTAGTAGGTAAACCTAGGTCTGATGTTCCCACAGCATGCCGATCAGAGCCGAGGCCATTTTAACACCTTGCCGAGTTGTTTGATCCAGACAGACACGCGTCAGTGAGCTGTTTCCACTGCCACTAAAAGCCAATTGCTCCCAGGTTTAAACAGGTTTTTCTGCCAGTGGGAAAGGGGTCCAAGTTTTATTTTGAATAGAAACTTGAACTTTTGCCTGAGTTAAAGGACACATATATTTCTTCGTTTGATGAATAAAATAAGTTGAATTGCTTTTTTGCGTTTCATACAGGAAGAATAGATTGGATCTTTATTTGAATATCTATTTTGAAATGCTGTTTTTTTCTTTGAAGGGATTTTGATTTGTTTGTTCACACATACACCAGAATTTTGAAGGAACGTGGCTAAAAACTATTAACACAAGCCCTTCTTTCCAAGATTTTCTATAAATTATACATATTTCTGTTTATTTCAAACCACTCCTTTTCTCACCTGGGGTAGTAGGCTGTGTAGTTCATGTACAGTTGAGCTGATGCAGGATAGTAAGCATGTCCTGGGTGCAGGGGCCGAGGAGCCAGCAGAACCTGTCCGATCGGAGGGTAGAGAGCAGCAGCAGCTGCAGCAGCAGCATCCGTTGGAAGGATTGGTTGAACCGGGGTGAAGGAGTAAGATGGAGGAGATAAGCCTAAAACCACGAAAGAACAGGGAGCAAAAACAAAGCATAAAAACTCCAAAACATTGAAAGAATGTAGAGTCATGGTGGTGAAGTGTGCTCATTGTTTGATGATGAGGGATGAGCTCATACAAACTTGTAAACATAATCACTACTGTCTGTACTATGCATGTGAAACCAATTAAGTATCCATCTCTAAATGCAAAATATCCATATACGGTAATGTGAAGGAATTTTAACTTTGTTTATACCTTCAGAAATATTTTTTAGTTGAATTAAAACAGCTGGGAGTCTTTTCAACTTTACTTCCTTGTATATCAAAGTCTATTTTATATCTCCTGTGTTAACATAAAAAATAACCCGGCAAAACACCAGCAGCAATATAATCTACAGGGAAATAAGTTAAATTAGCATCCATCATCAATGTCTTACATTGATTAGACACAGATTGGAATATTTCAATAAATTATTTTGGTTAAGTTTTATTTTTTTTATTGCTTTTAACAGATCCAAATTTCTCAAAAAATGAGAATATTGCATAAGTCCCTTGAAAGTATATTTATGTACTTTAAAGTATAAGCACACAATAGTTTTCTGGTGTCTGTGGTTTGTATGAACAACAATCCAAATATGGGGTTAAGTCCATATTTGTGAGTGATGCAGCTTAGTGACATCATGGTCATTAAACCAGCTATTTACACCTGTGGTGGTGTGGGAAGTGTTGAAGCTAGAAATCTGCCCTGCGCCAGTTTGAATTCTGTATCTCTCAACTCGTCTTTCAGACTCTGTGAAGCTGATTTTTTTATGGTTTGCAAATTCCCTTTTATTTGAATAGAGGATTTTGGACTCGTGTTCAACAGCGCTCTTTCTCCTCAGCCAATGTGAGACACTTATAATGTTCTCAGTAGCTCTGTATTGGCTGAATGCAATGAGTGTCACAGTTGTAGCTCGTGTCCTGAGTTTGTAGTCATCCACATTTATCCATATTTTGTGAATCAACAAACTTCCATGGGTTTTGCTTCATTATCCTTCCAGAGCCAATTATCACTGCTGCTTACAGGCCTTTTCTACCACACATTTCCCTTCCACTTAACTTTCCATTAATGTGCTTGTAATAGCAATCTGCACAGCCAGCTTCCTTACCAATGTTTTTATGTGTCTTAACTCCTTATGGAGAGATTCAATAGCCTATAATTTTATAGGCCACATGATAAGGCTTCTCTATTTAAGCTTTATTGGTTTAATCTTTTGAGTTTTCCTAAGATTGAAACATAATCATTAAAATGAACAGATATAAAACATTTGCAGTATATCACTGTTTAATATATGTCATATAATGTAAAATATAATATTGTCTTTTTATAAAAAGAGAAGGTATATAATGCCTTCATTTTTAAGTTGAATAATTTACTACAGCATATAGTAACTACAGCATGAAATATTTCTGTTTGTGATATAATCTCTTGCACCGTAAATCAGACAGTCATCAACAGTTAAACCAGTTTTAATTGGGAACAGACACTGAGACCAAAGCATATCTATGCACCAGCTTTGCCCACCTTTCGCACAGCTTCTGATTGGACAAGCACAGGAGGTGCACACACACCTGACGTGTGCTTGTCTGTTTAGGCTAAATCCCACAACCACCACTACTGATCTGATGAGATCAGAAAAATGCAAGCAACATTGTCGTATTCTGAGCTTGTTTGGAATTGCTTTGCTTACACTTTTCCGAGCCTTCCAGATCTTTTGGAATCACGTCAGCAGTGGTAAAGGAATTAGAAATGAGTAAAAACATGCCACTGAGAAATTACACTACAGTATCCAATCAGATTGAAAAGTGAAAGAACATATTAAAAATAGTATGATCATTACATGCAAATGGGTGTAGGAATCATTCTTAATAAAAAAAAAGAAAGATTCAACCATACTTACATTGATTCACACACACTTTCACAAACATACAGATTTTTAATCTTAGTCCCCCATCCTCCCACAGATCTAGATTGGAGGAAAAAAACAGAAACCCTGCCACCACGGCAGGAGCCCACCTACCCTGCAGTCCCGAAGCAACCCCAGCTCCCAGCAGCACTTACGTCTGGACTTACATGGCGGCGGGCTGAGCCCTGTCCCACTCCTGCTCCGGTTGTGTGTGTGTGTGTGCGTGTGTGAGAGCGAGCCTCCCATCAGCACCAGGCCCATCTCTTCAGCACTGCAGGGAAACACTTCCACATAGCGGCTGTTGGCCCCACGTTGGCTGGACATGACATGCTTGTGAAGCCGCTGTGATGCCTGGAGTGCCCGTTCAGCCGAAGTCATCTGGATGAAGCAGTCGCCTGATGGGCGACCCTGCAGGAACAGAGGATTGAGGTATTGCTTCATATAAAATATGTCAGAAAGTCTTTTATCATAAGCAAGGAGATAACTTGTCAAGTTTGAAGATGTACACAAACAGAAAAACAGATAGCTGCCATAGTTTTGCTCAATACAGATTATCTCTCTCACAGAGAGAAAGCAAATTATTATGCCTATTATTCTGTCTATGTGTACCATGCAGATATTTGACACTTAATAGGTTTGTCACAACTGTTAGACAGAAACACACACATGATTACTCCTACACATAATACCCCTGCTGAAAATCAAACAGATCATCAGTTCATTGTACAGACTGGACTGGTACCAGCCGTACTCTATGTACATATTAGAGGCAAGGGGTGACAGAGAATCCCAGAAGCCTACCGGTACTCATACTTTTATCATACGCATCATCTTCCTATCATGCGGAACTGGGTTGCAGTCTCAGCAGAAACTCCCAGACTTCCCACTCCGAGACATCTACTTCCCAAGGTAGCCTGAGGCTTTCCTGGGTCCTCCCGTTGGCCTCCTTCCTATGGGATGTGCCTGGAACATCTCTCAAAGGAGGCAAAAAAAAGATGTCTAATCCACTTCAGCTGACTTCTCTTGATGTTGAGGAGAGGCGGCTCTACTCAAAGCTTCTTCCAGATGACAGAGTTCCTCACCCTATCTCTACGGGGGAGCCAAGCCACTATGCTGTTCTTTACGTCATGTTCGAAATTTTAAGGCCATCCGTGAGGGTTTGGAACATAAACCGACTGGTAAATCAAAAGTTTTGCCTTTTGACTCAGCTCTCTCTCTTTAACACAACACACCAGTGCAGCATTATGGTGTCACATTGATTTCAAAAAGCACGCGAGCAAAATAAACATACTCGCAAGTATGTTAAACTACTTCTGCGCATGGTTTATCTACCACCACACAACAAAATCACAAATGAGAAAGGAATTGCCACTCTGAGAGCAGAAAATCACTGTCGGCGCATGACAGCTCCTCCCACGCACGCTTGGGAGGAGTTTGACTGACAGCTTGCCAGCAACAAGGACCAAACTCCTACTCCACTTATACAGGCCCTTTACTAGAGTCCGGATGGCCCCTACTCTGTGCCCCTGATGCACCCTCCACAGGGTACTACAAGAGACACTGTTGCATACATATGAGGAGTGGCTGGACAACTCCCCATGAACCCTCAAATGCCCTGCAGAGAGTTTAGAGCTGATTCAGTGTTCCACGGCCAGGACGAAAATCCCACTGCTACACCTGAAGCCAAGGTTCGTCAATCGGCCAGAGTCTCCAGCACCCTGGCATAAGCCTTCTCAGGGAGACCTAGAAGTTAGATCCCGTTACAGTTGGAACACACCCTGTAACACCTCATCTTATGCAGGGGTACCACCACCCCTCTCTTCAAGCCCAAGCCACTGTCCAGGCCCAACAAGAACAACAACAACCACCAGAGACCTAAGCCGTGCCAGTTTCCAAAGCCTTGCAATAAGACAGACAGCTGACAAAGCTTTTTGAAGGGCTTTTAAAATCAATGAAATATGTGCCTTAGTTACGAATAAAAAAAAAAAAAATCATTATACACTCATTAATACCATGATTGATTTTTTCTTTACACTCATGCTCATACATTGATAAAATACCTTGGGAGACACAGAGTTTACCATGGTGACAAGGCAGGGGAATGGAGATATACTCGGGGAAATGTTTGTGATGCTTGTTAAGCAGGGCTAGTCCATATTTCGTAATGAGTTTATCATGGTTTATGCTGAAATATAAAAAAAAAAATTCTAGTTCAACTTGGAGAGACAAATAACAAATAGCACTCTCAAAAGAACAACAGTTGTGTCTTGCAATGAGAATATATTTTTTCTTGAGTCTATGATGTTGTACATTTGTGCCAGAAGGTATGTGAGGAAAGGGCGTACCTGCTGGTTTAGCACCATGTGAACGCCATGTTGTCTGACATCTTGTGTAAACTCCCCAAGAAAGGTGAGAATGTCCTCGATACTCGCCGTGTACGGTAGGCCCCTCAGCCGGAGGCAGTCCCTGACACTACCGGGAGGTGGCAGGAGAGGCACTGAGGGCATTATCGACACCAGGGGGGGTGGTGCCACAGGAATCAGAGGGGCTGAGGAGTACCGGTTCAACACCTAAAAGACACACGTTTTGAATTAAATACCCAACTTGAAGTTTGCTTTCTGAATCAGGATTTCCCTATTTGCCTGTGATGCTCTTAGATAAAGCAATCAAATAATAACTAAAACTGTCATTAGTTAAAACCCAACAATGAAACACCTACATGGCAGTATCTAAGAGGCAAAGAAAGCCAAGGCAATGCTGTGTTTAAATATGTAGCACTGTCAAACAGGAGTTGGCCAGCAGCCAACAGGACACCAACATGTTTGCATTTCTAGAGAAGACAGATAAAGGCCCCACAGTCTCACATATATTTGAAAGCATGAGAAAAGCCTTCTGCATAGATATACTGATGTGCTGTAGGCACAAAGATAGGAAAATAAACATTAGCACCTTATTATGACAGGGTAGAGCATTGCAGGATACAGAGAAGGAAGAAGTCTGTTTACCAACACACAGATAGGAAATACCGTACACCTTGTTATGCAGGTCTGCAACTTTAAGGTTTAGTTAAGGTAAAGTCAGAAAGCCTTACACTGCAAAAATATACAGTAACCACAATCATAAACATAAAAATGACCCCTTCTTGGTTTCTAAAAAGGTACGGCCGCATAAAATAACAAACAATAATTGTTTAACTTTCTAATACTTTTTCCTGTCATCTTTATCTGTTACAAAATGTCATGGTAGCAGCCTTAACTATGTGTTACACCTTATGCCTATAGTTTGATAAAGTTAAATATGTGGAATCACTATTTTCCCACCATTTTTCCTTGGTAGAAGAGAAAATCTTCCACCAACACCACACAGCAACCAGAGCAAGCATGTTATTTGTCTATACTGCCAGTAACGCTGAATGTATTTTCATGACAAACCCCAACATACCTGTTGGACCTCTGCTGCTGTGCTTTTAAACAACTCAATGTATCTCTTGCCCAGGAGTTCCTTGTGTTTCCTCAGAGCGCACTGAGCGTGTTCCTCACAGGCAAACAACACAAAAGCATCTCCAGTTGGTCGTCCATCTGGGTAGCGGACAAACAGGATCCCTTCCTTCCCTCCGCTAATGGGACATGTCTCTTTCAAATCATCCTCTGGCGAGAAAAATCTGAGCACGTCGTCATGTGTGGCATTGAAGGGAAGCCCTCGCATCCTTACTATGATTTGGTCCTCACGGGACAGAAACATTGCCACCTCATTAGAGGTACCTGAGGGGAAACAAAAAAGTGGAGATTTGTTGAAACTCACGACATTATGTTCTTCCTTGTAGACTTTATTATAGATTTTGTGGCAGCAGTGTTTATTATTCCTTAGCAGCCGGACAGAAGGAAAGATCGAAAGAGAAGTGGAAGACATGAAGCACAGTTAATAACAATGGTCAGTTAATGACCATGGTCCAGGGATTGCATAAGACACAGCTGTGTCAAAGACTGTAGCCTCTATATGGTGAGTCTGCTCTTCCACCAAACCTAAACTCAATTTTACATTGTTTGAAAACTTCTTCAAGCATGTTACCATGAATTCAGTACAACTAGTGAAAGCCCAATAATGCAAATAATGCAATACCCATTTTCATTATCTTGACTTACCAAAAGCTGTTATTAACATAATTATCAAATGTCAATGCTGAGTCATACTGAAAATTCAATCTGCAAATTAGGTTTCCCCTTCAATGATGGGTGAACAAAAAACAATCCTAATGGATCTGAAAATGTTAATCATTGAGCTACTGTTTACCAAAGTGCCTGACATTCTAAAACTTGGGCATAATTTCAACTTCATGTTTTTCATAAGTTTGAGCATACTACTGTTACCAGCATATGTGTACAGGATTTAAATCAATCAAGTCTTTCGTTATTACTACAAATAGGAAACCTGCAAGAAAGCAAAATAATATTTAAATTAAGCTCACAAAAGCTGCATGTATTCACCTTTGCAAGGGCCACTAATTTTTAAAAAGGGCATGGAAATCAGTACTAACATATGGCTTCATATACTGGTTTCATATTTGAGGAAGTGGAACTATACTCTAAGCTGAAAGCTGAAATAATAATAATAATAATAATGATAAACATTTTTTCAATTAGATGAAGCTAATTCTCACCTGTATTACTTGATCTGTATAAAGAAATACTAATATTTGATATATTTTTGGTCTATAAAGGGTAGCAAAGTACCTAAAAAGGCAATAAACTAAAATCATCAAATTTAGGTTTTGGACATGTACAGTTTTGATTAAAAATAGCAATACACACATAATAAATATACTAACTATATAGTTTATTTACTATATCATAATTATGCTGGTAAACTATCCATATATGTGATCAATTATATAAATTTTACCTTGTGTATATAATTATTTAATTATAGATATATTTTTGTATACAATCATGTTGAATGAATGGCTAAAAGTTCCACCATCATGCAAAGAAATATCCATATATAAAAATGTTAAAGTAAGACAGCATAATATATAACAGCTTAATTACATGTAGATACCAGAATTTATTTATATATATTTTTCATGTTGTATTACTTTTCTGTTAAAATCATATATAGTAATATAAAACATTCATTTCATGTGCTATTTTATCATGAATTAATTATTTATCACAAAGAGATCATTACATTGGACAATGAACTATTAGATCACTAAATAAAAACTAAAATATTGATGGGTGAATTTCAATGTTTTATCATATACTTTTCCTTTACATGAAGTTCTTTTTTACTTTTGAATGTATTTACCTGAATGTACGTATTACATTTTTGTATCTTTCACTTTATTGCAATTTCTTCTACCGCATTTTTTATTTTAGCAACTTACCTAGTTACTTAAATTCCCCTAAATACACATGATCCTTTTGAAAAATATCAACAAAAAAAATAAATGAACATATGAGTGCCTCACCTCCTGCTATCTTCAGGAAGTCTTCTCCTGTTGCTTTATAAACCTGTTAATAAAAAATAACATTTTGGCTGATTAGTGCCTGTAAAAAGGTATCATAAATCAATGAATAAGCGGGTTATAGTCTTCATGATGTGCTTACAGACCAGTTACCTCAATATATCTGTTGCCCATATGGTGTTTGTGCCTCTGCAAGGCTAAGTCTCTGTGCTCTTCACTGACAAAACGTACAAGTGCTTCTCCATTTCTCCTCCCCTGAGCATTAAGACACAGTGCAGCTCCTCCTCTGTAAAATACATCATGTAAATAGATGAACAATCATATGATCAATAGCAGCGCAACTGCATTACTGCAAGTAAGATCAACCCAGAAACAAGCTTCTACAAATGTGTTCCAGATCTACAACATACTTGGCAATGTTGAGGCCTTTGAAGAATCGAGCGATGTCCTGGTCAGAAGACTGCCATGGCAACCCTCTGGCTCTGATCACTGTGTTGTCGCACACCTTCTCCATTTTACTGCTGTAGAAAAACATATCAACAGGAAAACAGTCTAGGTTGATTTAAATCAAAGCAACAAAAACCTGCTTTCTGACTCACTTACCAAGTGCCACTTTCAAATCTCTCACTAACTCTCTCTGGGTTAGAAAATCTGTGACCTAGAATGAGAAAGCAATGAATAATCAAATACAGCCAATAACTGTTTCCGCTTAAAATGCTAAAACCTGTACATTTCTTGCTTTATATCTTAAACAATTCTATGGGCAAAAGTATGTTGCATCCATTTTATTCTAATTACAAGATCTCTACAAAGAATCAATACTGCAGTTATCTTCAGGGATATACAGAAGTTATTTGAACAATTGTTAAATAAATCAGCTACTTTTTTCTAATTTCTCCTTTTATATATATAAAAAATATATTTAGGCACATATAGGCATGAAGGTAATAACCTGAAGATCCTTTCACATTTTGACTATAGAGTGCATTGAGTGGGAGGCTTTCATCCTTGTTGAAAATGTACATGTTAATGTTTTAGTTAAAAGCTTTAATGCACCCAGACTTTGTTTAGTACATCACTTTGTGGAAGAATGAGGAAAGCGATTTTGACAGAAAGCAAAAACAAAAAAAAACATTTGATTTGCGGACAAGCCATACAGGGGACACAGCGAACATGAAGATGGATGTGCCCTGATCAGATGAGATCAAAATGTAACTTTTTGGTGTAAAGTGCTATGTGGAGAGGAAATCTGAGGGAACACATGACCACCAAGGTGAAATGTGGTGATGGCAGCATCATTTTATTTAGAGGGGATGGAAAAAGTGGTCAGAGCTGCTGAGAAGATGGATGGTCATAGCAAACTGGAGGAAAACATGTTAGAGGCTGCAAAAGACCATATGGGCAAAGGTTCGCCTTCCAGTATAACGTCAGAGCCACCACAGAACAGTTTCAATGAATGCATATTCATGTATTAAAACAAATGCCCCATCAAATTCCAGAGTTAAATCCATTTAAGGTTGAGCTATTTTGCCCAGAACAATGAGCAGAATTCTTGGTCTCTCCTTAAGGCCTCGCCGCAAAAGTTACATTGACTTTCGGAACAAATAACAATGCACAACACGTTTGTTTATTGTGATTTGTTAAACATTTTAACACTAGGCATGATTTATTTTTAGTAATTGGATGGTTTAGGTTCTGTTATATGTCATGCATTGCTTTTTTCACAGTAATGTGGAAGTCTGTTTTTTCTTTTTTAAATTTCAAGCTTTTTGTTCTTTCTGTGTGCAAAATAATGAAATATCTCAAAGACGGATGTTAGAAAGAAAAATCATTATTAAATAGTTTGTGTCTCAGCTTTAATTTCTTATAATCAATTGTTCAATTCTCTTCTACAGTAATCACCGATTTGTTTTGTCGAAGGTACAATCTTTCCCTCTACCTCTCATGCAGTACTTACAGTATGGCTCAGAGAGCAAAGCGAGAATGATGTTGCTCATAAGCCGGACCTGCTTGACAGCTACTTCCGCAGGGAGAACCGTCAGCGGTTCCTGATTGGCTGTGGGATCCCACACAGTGGGCATGTCGACAGGTATGCTTAGAGCTGATGAGGGCCCAGTTAAGGAGTTAATTCATCAATACAGGCAGGTGCTTTAAAGGAAAAAATGTCAGGGAGCATGTCTGGTTTGGTGAGTAGAAACACCAACCTGTCAGGTTTTCTGTACCACTGGGTGTGTGAGGTTAGCCCCATTGGCCAAACACAGTCTTTCTCTTGTGGCTTAGCAAATGCTGCCATTCTTTCCTTATTTGCATTTCAAAACCTCTTACACTGCAGCCAACACCCTGTCTTTAAACCTCTAATGAGGTATTTCTGCATGTAAAATGTACGCACCAGCTTTAACTAAAAGAAGAAAACAACAAACACATTTAGAGTAAAGTGAAAATAGGTTGAGCTGTTTCTACTTTTCTTTCACTCTTACATGCCAAAGATCAAACTTTTGAATTCATAAGAACTCGCGGACACGGTAATACAAAATTCAGTTTGCAAACGATTCTTTTCTTAAGGAAAAAAAAGTCTTCAATTTAGACTTTTCTTTTGCTTTTTTAGCATTTATATTATATACTTTATGTAAAGCTTTGGATAATTCACTTTCTGTATAACCAAAATCCGCTTAGACTTATGGCATGGTGTTCTCATTCAGCATGTTTGGCATGTTGGGGCTAAAGCAGCAAAGTTTCTTGATACCATCACTCTATCACTGCCGCATCTGTTAGCTTAAATTCCTTTATTGTCTCATCAGAATATTTTGGAGATCATTAAGATGATTTTTGACAAATGTGACACAAGCATTAACAGCCAGAAGTTGCCTGAAACTCCAATTATTTATATTTTAGCTAAATATATCTTTTTTTTGTTGAATAAGTGGAACTTTTATTTTTGCTCCACCACTGTTCTGCTATGAAATCATTTTTGACATCAGCATAATGACTTGTTGTTTGATCTTTGAGCCTAGTTTATGTCGTCAGACAGGTCCTGCTTAATCACTTTCATGATTCTACAAGTTTAGCAATAGTAAAGTCTTGGTGTGGCTAATGAAACTGAACCTAAAAAAAATTTGTAGTTAAGCACAGGTAATTTAATTTAAAAATAGAGACAATTATACTTATTGTTTGGTTAGATTTTTTTTCTCTTAATGAATACACTTTCAAAAGAAAAATACTATACCTGCTCTTTCTTTTTTTTTTTTTAAGTTTTAAAACATTGTGACAGAAAATCAAGCAGAAATATGTACAGAGACGAATATTGTTTTGTCACTATTTTAAACCCAGAAGCATTTCTGTAAAGGATACACTCTGCCATGACGAGTGCATTCAGAACCTTGAGGTCAGAGGTGGGGAAGTGGTTCTTGAACTCCTTCCGTAAGTCGAAGAAGGAGTAGAAAAAGTCTGGGACCAGGATGTTCTATAAAGAGGGAAGAAATTCAGAGAAAGGATGTGAAAATGTAGCCCGTCAGCAGCTGCTGTTTTATTACATTCATCTTATTCGTGTTTGCCCAGGCCAACATGGTACACACTGCTTTCAGTTTTACAACTCCCATTTGTGTAACAGATGTGGGAGAATGCTTTCAGCTTCTGCTTGTGCACAGGTGTTGTACGGTATGTTCAAGGGGCGTGTGTCATTGGACAGGTTGACAGTAATTCGACTGAGATCCACCCTGGAGGTTCCTGCAGTTGGGAGGCATTCAGCCCAACCCAGCTCACTTACCTTGCTGGCGGCCTCAGGGTGAATCACTTGACGGATGTGGAGCTGCCCGTCTGTACACAAACAGAACGACGTGCCTGCGCCCGCACTGTTCACCTCATTTGTCAGCTGCAGATTGAACTGAAAAAAAAAAATATATATATATATTTATATATATAAGAATAGCATCTTACTGGAAGAAAACTAAGAAAATAATCAGTGAAGATTCTAGTGATTTGTTATTACCATGTTTATACCACTGTCAAGACTGGTTGCTGTGTAGACACGGTCTGCTCCGGAGGCAGTCTCGTCCTCCTCCTTGCCCTCAACCACAACATCTTCCTCAGTTTTTTCCTCTGTGGAGTCTGAGAGGTCAGACCTAATGAGGAGCTCATTCACCCTGCCCAACTGGTTCAGGAACAGAAAACAAGTCAGTCCTGAAACAGTCGTTCACAAAAGGAACCTATATGGTATCATAGCACAGATCTAAAGGACCATGCCGACAATCACAAAAGACATAATCATTAAATATATATCAAATTATCATGGGCCTGTTAGTTTTAATCAATATGCATGTTTTGCCTCCTTAAACATAAACTTAATTGTTTCTCTGCTGCTTTAGAATTAAATTCAGAAATTAAGGGAAAAAAAGACAAAAACAGACATTTCATGCAATAGTTGTTATCAGTCTTAACAGGGTTTAAGTTAGAGTTTAGTTTAATTATCCACATATTTGATTTCCTGGTTATCCACAGCAATAACTATGTAGTAAAAGGTGTTTTTGTTGCGTTATGTTACCGTTTTGTTGTTCACATTGACCAGCTGCCAGACCACCTGGACTAGATCCTTCTCGTCAGAACCCAGCAGCTCTCCGCTCGCTCCAGATGTGGCGGTGAAAACCACCACCAGGTAGTCTACCTGCGCCGTCATCTAAACGAACACGAGCCTCAATAAAGAAAAACTAAGGTGATACTACACTGATCTGATGGACAGAACGGGGAGATATATATAAGGCTGAAACACCGTGAAGGAATCAACCAATTTTATTGCGACACCTGAGCGAAAAGCTGATCGTAGTAAATCCAGAAAGTTTGATCCCTCTCAGGGCCTGCTCTTGTCACCATCGCGGAGTAATGGCTGATCGGTCATCGCTTTTGTAGCGCTTCTTACCTGTCTGACCACGTGACTGCATACCTGCTGGCCCCGCCCACTTCAGGTGCAGTGGAGATTAGGACGTGGCAAAGAGCGGAGGACTGTGAAATGTTTCTATAGCTCTCTGCAACATTTCAGCTTCAAGGTTCCAATGTCTGTCTTTCTTTCTTTCTTTCTTTCTTTCTTTCTTTCTTTCTTTCTTTCTTTCTTTCTTTCTTTCTTTCTTTCTTTCTTTCTTTCTTTCTTTCTTTCTTTCTTTCTTTCTTTCTTTCTTTCTTTCTTTCTTTCTTTCTTTACTTTACTTTACTTTACTTTATGAAATGATTACACATGTAAAATTCATATCCAGAACAAATTCGTGTTAAGAAGTTAACTTTACCCTACTACCAGCTGAATATATGGAAAATGTATTTCTCATAACATAAGTAGAACTCCCTTATCCTAAATAAAGTCTATTCACAGCCATATAGAGTACAACTTAATTACTAAGCATAATGAAAACATTGGTAGCTACTTCTACTAATACTACTGGCCTGCTGCTGCACCTACAACAACTACTGGTATTACTACTAATAATAATAATATTGTTAATATTTGCAATACAATAATAAATAAATTTTTATTATTTACCATGATTTATTAGTCGTGTTAGCAGTCATATATTTTACCAATGATATTATTATTATTATTATTATTATTATTATTATTATTATTATTATTATTATTATTATTATTATTATTATTAATAATAATAATAATAATAATAATAATAATAATAATAATAATAATAATAATGTTATCATTGCTAGTTTATTTCTATTATATGTATGCGTTTATTTAAATAAGACATGTATTTAAATGTTTTTGTTTTCCATCGCCCTTTGCCCCGGATGTATTTGCTTCACCGGAAGTTTATTTCCGTCCCGCTGTGAGGAAGCTATGGCGGCGGACACTTCGACGGAGCTGCTGTTTCTCGATACTTTTAAGCACCAGAGTGCAGAGGTAAGTTTGCGCTTTACATTGAATCATTGTCACGTATTACCTCCCGTATATACCGCTTGCTAAACTCATATCGATTTCATCTTAAGGGTTTTTTTTTTATTAATAATGCACAACTTTGTCACTAACGATGCTAACTTGGCTAACGTTAGCAGTTGTTTGTTGCTGCAGATATAACGGTCATAAAAAGTTGCCTTTATATCATGTTTAAGGCGTTTTTTATATAGTGTGAAACCGTTTCATTATGTATGATATAAAGTAAATATAGTATCTTAACATTACATAACGTCATTATTAGCCTTTACAGACTGTTATTCTAGTGCTGGATACCTGACAGGCTAATGCTACAGTATGACAAAAATCCCTCCAGTGTTTATATTAAATGAGATGGAAAAATAACTGGTGGTTTTTATGCTGAATTGGATGACTGCGATCATTTTTTGTTTTGCAGCTAACCAACGTGGACGTGGTGCGGTTTCCTTGCGGGGTTTTGATCACAGAGGTTCGGGTCATTCCTCCAGGAATCAAAGCTCATAGTAATTTACCTGACAACAGAGCATTTGGGTAAGAGCTACAGCACATTCACGTACGCTTCACAACCTGCAGTCTTGAACAATAGCATTTATTGGCTGTTTTTTTAATGCATGCGGTCTGATGAAAAGTACTGTACCCTGCAGAAGCATTCATTATCCTTAAGGTCTTCCCTTTTTGTCAGTTTACCTATTATAAACATCAGTCATGACAGCGACTGAAAAATGGAAATGCAAACAGTTGGAAGCTTGTGTCTCTGGTTAATTACTGCCTTACGTTGCTTGTTCTGTTTGTAAATGGCATGTTTTTGTCTCTAAGGGTTAGTGATTGACGAATATTTGAAACAAGTAATTAATCACCACTCTAAGTTCAGTAATTGTTTCATCCCTAGTTGAGAAATAGAAGGCGTCTAGCAAAATAAATGTTTGTATTAGAGATTGACTGACACAGGTTTTTTTTTTTTGGGTGGTGCCCATACTGATTATTTTGACATCAAACAATGATAACAAATGTTGAACAAGTCTCAATTTAAACTAAAAGAATAAGTTAATAACAGATCAAAGTAAATATTATCAATGGATCCCAACTGCATTCCCCTTTTATAATCTCCAGGAATGATCGCTGAATACACTAAGTCATCAAACTCATGCACATATTAGACAATACAAGAAAGACACTCTAATATTGGCCTAAAATATCGGTATTTGTATGTTCAGTGAATATCTAAAAAGCTAATTACAACTAGAGATTGAGTGATACATCAGCCGACCAATAATTTTGGCGGATAGTTGTTTTTTTTGTTTTTTTGTCTTGTATTGTTATCGGTCAATACATGCATGTGTTTGCTCATTAATTTGTGCATTTAGCTGCCATGTCTTGAGATCACGTTAGGCTCATGCATCTCCCTTCATTTGCTGTACGTTGCTAATATATATTTTTCTTTGATCTGTTAATACCTTTTTTTTTTTCTTTGTTTAAATTGAGACTTGAGTAAAAATTTCTCTCATGTCATTTTATTATGTTATTTTAGCAAATGTAAACAATAGTGGCCTAAACCAGGGGCCATTTATTTTAGAATGTATTTCATAAGTAAAACAATATATAAATTGATTTATAGGTACCTCTTTCATGGCTATTTACTTATTCATTAGACATTCACATTTATGTTTTTCATAGTGATGTCTGGAAAGGGAGGCCCTGGCTATAGAATTTTCCTTGACAAATTTTAATAATATTTACAATGGTACCTATTGGAGTGATGTGAAAATAATCGATATTGGCATTGACCTTAAAAAACCTGTGTTGGTCAATCTCTAATTACAACAAAAGAATTGAAAGTATCCAAGAAATCCCAAGAAGTCCCTCAATTTTAATCACACTATATTTAACAAAAGTTAGACAGAAAAAATTCTCCCTCCGACCCTTTGGTTGGCGGTAAAACACTTGAAGTGGGTTTGTCACCACACAAAAATGTAGATAGATTTGCAGCTAGCTTGCAGGTCCATGCACGCAAGTTGAAGATGGCACTTTTTCACACAAAGATTATAGAAAAGTCCTGCAACAATGGACTCTGGGCAAGCAAGCTTTCAAAAGGTGGAAGCCTTGGGTGAAACGTCTGGGGTTAGGGCAAAGGGAAATCGAAATAAAATCGTAAGATAAATTTTTGGCGAAATCCTTCAGACCTACTCAATACAATTTTTTTTATACCACTGGAATAAAAATGACAGACGATTAAAGTAAAAAGAAAAATCATTTTCGCTTATAAAAAATCTCACGTTTTTCAAATTAGCATTGAACATTTTTTTTCTCAACAGAATTGCAGATGCTAGTTAAATAAATGTGCAAAATAAATAACCCAGTAACAATAGCAAAAATTTGCATACAACACTTATCCTCGTATCGATACCATGCCAAATTAGTATTGTATCCGGGTGCAGTCTTTTGGTATCAATAGTTTTCTGAGTATCTATACTTTTCACAACCCTAGTGAGAATTTGCATTAAGGCCCCAGAAAAAGATATTATCAATGTAGATGTAATTTCTGTCTTAGTTTTCAATATTCTCTGTTAGTTCTACATATTTCCATTTTTTCAAAAACACCATAGTCTGTCCTCAGTGCAGACAATCCTGATTGTTGCTGTTATTAAGCAGTACCCTAGGGCGATTGTCTGTAGACATCTAATATCTATGCTTTGGATGGGGTTGCATAAAAGTTTTAATTTTGAAACCTGCCCTGCATTTTTGAGCAGGTGATGATTTCTAATAGAAATGTTGATCCTGTTTGTGATGTAATCTAAAAGTTATTAAGACTGTGAAAATCATTAACAAATGGATTTGATAGCTTTCAATAGAATACTCTGCTAAATGTCATTTATGATGACTTTTTTCCTCATCACATATTTTTAGAAATAGATTTTTGAGAACTCCTCTTTGGCTAATATCTGCTGCAAACTTTTTGTCGTTATCTTAAAGACCGATAACTCATTAAGTCCATGTAATTATGTTTAAAGATGCAGTGATGGAAACAGGCAAAAGTCCTAACTGTGTAATTGCTGTATTTACAGGGAGACATCTCCTCATGCCTTTCAGTTGGAGTTGTTCTTCAACAATGTCACCAAGCCCAACAGCCCCACCTTCCACAGACTGGGCAGGTCAGAATTATTTCCAACCTTTTCTTCTATTATTTTCTCATTTTAAACCGTCTCATACTCATTACCTACATTTACCGGTCGCTTTAGATAGAAGAGTCTGTCCCACCAGTAGAACCAGTCACAGCAGCATGTGGAACAGGTTTTCTTAGGACTGTTGTTCACCCATCCTTATTACCGGCTCTGCGTTTTCTCTGCCGGCTAACTGGTCCGTCCAGAAAGCCAACCCCGCCCACACTGTATCTGAAAGTGACACAAAAATGTCCAGGGCTGAAAGTGAGAGGCGAAATGGAATGCTTTTGCCCCTAGTTTTATTCTAACCTTCTTAATAAGGAAGGTGTGTGCCGCAGCAACAGAGCGTTAACTTGTATGTAGAGTTCCCTTTTTGAAAGGATAACGGAGACACACCTGTGTTGTTCTTTGTCCTGGGAACGTGAGGAGGACTGGTTTGGCTAACCTCTCTGATTGCTTTAAACATGCTCCTTCTTCGTATCTGTAATGAGGTATTGAGCGTCGCACCAGGGCCACTTATTATTGTTTATAGATCCCTTAAAGCAGAGCTCCTCCACTCTGGTGCTAGGAGTATGAAAGATCTGAAGAAATCCCAAATGAAATGAAAATGCCTGTCTGTGTTTTTCTCTTGGCTTTTGCATTTTCTTTCAGTCTTGTCTGGTTTATTTTATATCCACAGTTTGGAGTACGATGAAAATAAGTCCATCGTCTTCAGGCCCAGTGGAAAGGTGACAGATCAGTTACAAACTCCATAGTTTATGACCTGTTCTGTTGATTTGGGTCTAAAGAATTAGCAATGTGTTTG